ACACATCTCAGTGCACAGGAGATTGTTAATATAGAAAAAAGGGAATCAGCAAAATATCCATAATTCTGCACTAATTACAGCAGACAAGTGGTAACCTAACAAATAAGGCATCAGCAATGCTGCTTCTGGAGTCAGTTCTGAAGTATCAGCTGCCTGCTCACGTACAGTGGCTGGTGTCACTCGCATTTCAATTGTCACCAGGACAGATTTCCCCAATCAAGAATCATCTACACTGCCTACTACCCAGGTACTCCACACAGCAGGAAAGGCTGCCCTGAAGGGTTTTGTTTGCCTGTTTTTTTGTTTGTTTTATTGCTTCCTTTTTTTTTTTTTTTTTTTTTTTTTGCTTACGCACTTACAAACATGCTGACTAAATTTGTTTTGTGAGTGCTCAAGTATAGACCTACCACCTTTTATTAGTTACCCTGCAATGAAAACAGGATACAGGGAAAGACCAATATTTACATTAAAAAACCTCCTGAAAGGAAAAGAAACTGCATTCCTCAGACAGCAAGCACAGGTTACTGCTTGCCCACTGTAAACTGTCAGCGTGGATGTTCTTTTTTTATAGGAGCATTGATGGCATATTGGTCTCTCCCCACTAAAAAAAAATTCAAGATCTACCATAAACGTGGATAAAGTGCCAAGTATAACAGAAGCCCGTGAGATTTCATGCAGTTATTCAAACACAAACACCTTATCTTCATTCAAAAGTCACCAAGTGCATTAAAGGCAGCACAGACACACACCCCAGCTCTCTGGCAGCAAATGGTACAGTTTAAAGCAAGGAAAAAAATCTCGGTACTTCCCATGCCATCATTCGAGTCAAGAGCCTGCAGAACACCTATGAAGTTTGTGTATGCTAGGAGAAGCTCAATTTTTTGGCACACCAAGGATTTTAAAATGAGAAATGTGTAAATAGCAAGAAGGTTATGAGATTCTGCAACAGCAGTGGTTAATATCAGCATGCCAGTTGATTGCAAAAAGGCTGTGGGTTGTTTCACTTACGTATTGTGGAAAATGCATGCCATTCTGTATTTCCCAGGGAGAACAATTACATAATGCAATAACACTGGATTAGAAGCAAATACTTACACAACGGAATATACACAGATAGCATTTTAGTTCACAAATACATTAAATGTCTACCCCAACACATTCTTGTAATTCAAGTCATTTAATGAGACAACGTACATCTGTGATACTGTCACCAGTAGGTTCGTCACTAGTTTGCATAGTCCATTTATTTGATATATGCCTTTTTTCTGAAGGCAAGAAAGCCTTATTTTCAAAAGCATATTTATTTAGCAAGCAGCAGCAACTCCACAATAAATAGACCAGCACTGGAAGACAAACTTTCTTCTAGATTATTTCTAGTTTCCTCTTTTTTTTTTTTTTTTAATGTTAACAGAACAGTTTCACAGGATAAGTGTCTCAAAAGTGTCTCTAAGGAATAAAAGCCGTTAAGTTTAATGACTTATCACAAGAAGATGTACACACAGGACACAAGTTATTCAACAGATCCAAGCACACACGTAAACTTAAACCACCAGTCGTTAAAGCAGGTGAGGAGTCCCAGTTTCTTCAATCCCTACAGTAAGGCCCACAAATATTTCTGTCTATGTGACTGAGCTGGAAATGGGCACCCACTAGGGAAGATCTGGTGGATCCAGAGAGAGACTCTTTCCTAATCCACGATGTTTTATTATTATCCTGTGGCTTCAACCTTCCCCAGTCAGTTACAGCTGCAATAAATCCTCAGGGACTTTTTGCTACCTGTTCTGTCAGTTCTCCAGGTCATTCGTGAAGGGTGAGTAGGATTCACATACAAAAGTGTTCATTAGCATATAAACTTGGTTTTGGACACATTAGTCAAGAAACCTTGCCCTACACGCTATCCAACCCCCTTGCCAACACTACATGCTACAATAAACACTAAAAAATAGACGTCACCAAAACTGACATGCATTAAAAACGATTGCACACATCAGGGCAGGAAAGCACTAGTTACATACATTGAGAAAGCTATAGCCTGCGTTGCTGCACAGACACCTGCGCAAGTACCCCAGGATTAATCTTCCAGCCTATTCTCACTCCCAGAGCACGCTACATGTTGTAACATTAGACATGCTTGACGTATGGATGCACCTAAGAACACACTTTCCACACTTCTACTTATCCAGACTGTAAAGTGCCCTCCCACATCACCTCAATTCACAGCTTTATGTCAGTTTAGTGAAACACGAAGCCACGAGACAGACTGGTCAAATACTAATTAATGATGAACTTGCATGTCACACTGCAACTCATTTACTAGAACTGCACAGCTGACAAAAACAAAATCCAAAACACACACCTCAAACTGACTTCTTCAATTTTCTACTGCAACTACAGGTCACTTCCAAATTTCAGTTATTTATCAGTCCACATACCTAATTACACAGAACTCTATTTTAAAATGAGCGTTTGCTTACCAACGTCGGAGCGTTCCACGCAGTTGTAGGTGCAATCTTGGGTTGCCAGTTGGAACCACCTGTTAGTTTCTTTTCACCTGGCTGAGTCCAGTTTACATCACTTCAAATAAATTTGTAAATGGTTAGAAAACAATGGATTTGCTTACAGAATTCCTCAGGCAAGTACCATTTCCTCTTTGAAATGTGACTTTCATTCAGCAAAGGAGTTGAAGAAAGGTCTCACAACAACTTGCTTTTGGTAGGCAAAGCAAAGTAAGGTGTCTAGCTTGAGCCACTTCAGCTTTATCTAAGCTCAGTCAAGTTCCCTTGTTGACACCTTGCCTGATATTATCACTGCCATTACTACTCCACCTACAATCACCTTCAACCAGCTTTCAACAATTCATTGCATCTCATATGAGAAATGCAGCCCTATCATCCCAAGCATGCTCTGAAGGTTAACACAATATTGTTATAGAAAGATTTGAACCTGTACTTCCATAAAATATCGCTACCAAGAAAATCAAAATGTTCAACTTTTGATTAGGCATACTCACTTTTTAGCAGTTCCATTTCCAATGCCCAAATCTGTCACAAAGTAGGAAAAAAACACTACTGAAATTCCATTCACTTAGAAGAATTAAATAAGCATTTATATGCAAGTCATTCAATACTTACTGCCTACAAGGTTGGCTAAAGATGAATCCAGATCATCTGACTACTAACTTGTTCGGTGGTACTTTGGCAACTGGAAGACTCTGGTTTTGGGAGGCCACTGTTGGTTTTAGGAGACCACCTAATTCATCAAAGCCTATGAATGATAAGCAAAATAAGCAATTTGAGTCACAGGCCTCCTGTGAACGTTCAGTTAAGTAGACAGCAAGTTCAACACAAAAGCTAAAATACTAACTTTAACCTAGTGATACTACAAAGTATAAGAAGTAGAAGACTACTATGCCTATGGACAAAGGAGATATTTAGTACAGGAAGGAGATTTTACTCTACTAGTTTTACTTATGTGACATCTATTTTACATGAAATGGATTCACAATGACTAAAGCAATGGAAATGTAAAACAAAATTAAGAATATCTAAAAGATTACAATCTTATCAAAATATGTATTTTTGTTTTTAAGCAGATCACTGGTTTGGCCAAAACTAATCCAATACCAAAAGAATCCAATGTCAAAAGACCAGAAAGTATTTACTTTCCAGATGCTCAAAAGAACATATGATTACAATCCAAATTAACTGTTTTGATTATTTTCAGGAAATGATCATAGAAGATAAATCATCTCCACATCCAAATATAATACATCAGTAAATAAGTGTTAAGAAATGTGTAGCACGAAAAGAAGCAACATTAACTCTACTTCTTATGACTGTGGTCTCCAAGTGCAATCTTACGTTGACAACACAAATGAAAAAGGCTGTTCACTGTGTGAAGTTTTAATGCACAAAAGCTTTAAGTGCAGGAAATAAATGTAAACATTTCATCAGAATGCATGCAGAAATAGCATGTAAGGAACAAGTTTTTTGATCGTCCAAGAAAGAGCTGGATGAAAAATGCTGTTATTGACCTTTTAAAGCCCGCTTTTTTTTTTTTTTCAGCTGGAACATTGTCACAGCAGTATGAGTAAAAACAGATTAAGAGATTTATACTTCACCAATAAATAAAATGTTAAAGGACATATGTCATCTATTTTAGTACATGTCTTACCACCAGAATCTAGGACAACATTAGAAGATTTGTTTCCAAACACAGACTCAAAGTCAACATTAAGGCCAGCTGATGGCTGTGGTTGAGCAACAGGAGACGGAGTGAACCCTGTGGGGAAAAAGAAGGAAGTTTAATGTTTTTGTGAAGTATATTTCTCATAAATTTACCTTCTTATGCAAGATAAGCCAAAGATGTAGATTATTTAAGTACTGCAGAAAGATTAGGAATACCTCAAATACCCAGATTATACCCTGACATCAAGAAGCATATACGGAAAGAGCTAAAAGCAGTTTAAAGATATTCCTAAAAAAAAAAAAAAAGCTTCTCTCAAAATATAGGGCACATAGGCCATGGCAGACCTTCGCCCCATTGCTAAATCTCTGCCCTATTTGTAACATCTTTCCTTTTTTACAAACTACTTACAATAGATGTATTAAGAAATAATCATTGTGCTTTTGCAGGCAATGCAAGTGGCTGGATACAGAATCTGTTTCAAAATCAGCTGCCTGCAGAATGCTCTCTTCATCTTTTGTGTTAGTTGAGCTCCTCTCAGATACAACCAGAGCAAAATCCATACTATCCCAAGATGCCTGACTTGTAACCTCTCAGTTAGAGGCTCCTAATACTAACATTTTTATAACGCTTGCTTTGTTATATTTGAGAACACGTTAATTACTTCATTTGTCTCCTCTTGTGTACCTATAAAGCAGATAGTTTGCTTGTTAAGTGTTCTCCAAATACATATATTTTTTTCAATGCTTAGAAAGTTTATCACAGCACAAAGTATTGAGATTTTGGGGCAGTATTACATAAAGTTGATGGCTCAATAATATGAAAGTGAGTGCTGAGCTGTTTCTAAACTCACATTTCTGATGTTACATATACCACACATGCAAGCCCGTGCATACATGTGTGCCTCTACATCTCGACATTCAGGCAGTTACAGAAGTAGTTATTCCTTTTGTGTGAGAAGCACCAAGGGATGCAATGCCAGCGTGAAAACCAACTTTTCTGTTAGAGAACAGAAAATTTGATGATACAGAGAAATAAAAGGAAAGGGTGACAAATAATTTAGTAATAAAACATCTCCATGAACTGATGTGTCAGATTTCATGTTGTTTGCTGTGACAGCTCATTTCAATCTTACTGTTCTCCTGAAATAAGTGAGCTTTCACCTAACTATTAGTAACTATGTGGTGCTATCCTTGTACAGAAACTTCACAGACTAGACTGATTTGGATCACCTTTTCTTCTTATTTGTTTTAAAGGAACATACAAGTCAAAGGCATCCACTGCTAAGAAATTATACAGCTTATATTAAAAACAAACCAAAGGAAAAGTTTGACCAGCATACAGCAACACAAGGGCAGCAGTAATGTGGGAGAGGATAGAGGGTAAATAACAAACCAAAATGAGTATCTTTGTGACAAGTATACCAGTCAGGTTGTAACAAGCCATTTCAGAGACTCTGAACTGCAGATAGGAATTCCTTTGATGGGATGTCCTGCAACTCTTAAAATCGTGCCTGTACCAATAAAAAATGTGACTTCAAATAGCTCTGATTTTTCTTTAAGAAAATGGGCTTAGCTGGTACAAGCTAAACCTCCTGCTCTCACAGTTTTAGGATGTTTCAAGCTACGTAAAGCTAAGCAAGAAGACAAAACGTTACATGGGACTCCTTTGAGTCAGGCTCTGAGAAGATCTAATCCTACTCTTGGTAGGAACCATCAGTCCAGGGCACGTTGTCTAACCTACACACTGGGAAAGGTACAAAGGCCAGACAGAGCTCCTTTAAGAGAGTAAAACAAGACTTGACAGGAACTAATTATTCTATTTTTTGGATATGGAACAAAGGAAACAGTGACATGGAGGATTTAACCTTTCATTAAATGACTCCAGTTGGTTTCTATTTAAAGACAGTAAAACAAAACGTAACTTTATGTGCTTAAGAATTAACTCTCCCACAAAACATTCACTGAAGGTATTCCTAAACCTGGCATTGCAGCAATGTGAACACTCTTTCTGCCTGGTTTAGATGGATTATCTGTCAAAGTCCACAGCCTGGTTAACAACTGTCAGCAAGGTATTCCTGAAATAGCATCAGTGCCAAGTCACTATGCTGACACTACACAGCTGCCCAAGTGATTAGACTGGTAATTTAATGCAGCAAAGACCTCTTGCATGTTTTGTTGCAAACCTTTGTTCTAGTTTAGTGCACTGCTTATGAGCAGGATATCAACCGAAGTGGCAGAAGCAGCAACATCCCAGTCTCTTTGTCTTCAAAACAGTGAGGCTGAGTTAGATGAGAAGGTATTTAAAATGTGGAAGCCTTTCATGTGGTGTGCGACACCATGGGAACTACAGGAAATCCTGAAATGGGGAGATACTCATTTCTCATACTAAATACTTAGCACGAGCTGAAAATAGATAAATCACTTGTGACAACACATCTAGCATAAGCACTACTACATGAATCAAAGTTGGAGGCAAAGTAATAACACACTTCTGTAGCCAATGATATACCTACTAGCTCTAGGCACACAACACATTCACATTTCCGTGCTCGTGGTAAGGCTGAATCCCATTACCTACCTCCAAATAGACCAGCTACAGAAGAAGGCTCATTGCGGAAATGAGAAGCATTAGGGTAAGCTTGAGGACCACAAAAAGAGTCTGATAAGGCATGGCACACAAAAGAGAGAAAGCCAGGAAAGGAGAAGAAGGAGAGTTACAGAAAGAGAACCAAGATATACTCAATTTGCTATTCAGAAGTTTAATTTCAGGTTAGCCTATAAACCCACATATAATCTAATAACATAGAAATAACACAATGAAATTAATACACACAAGACATACAAGAAACAAGTTTTCATTGTCTATAATACTAAAGGGAAGAACTGTTTCAACACCACAGCTATGTTAGGATAAACACATTTTTCTTTTCTTTTCAAGCAAATGCCATGTTTTACACCCTTGGGAAAAAAAACAAGTGTAAAAGCTTCAAGGCATTTTTTTTTAATATACCTGACGTATAATGATACAGCCCAACAGTGGATTCATATTTGGTTGCCACAAAGGGATTTAGTTCAGTAAATGGATTGTAATGATCTAAAGAATCAGAAAGAATTATTTTAAATCCACGTTCACATTAATGTAGCACCTTGCCTGTGCTACCACTAAAGCTGCATCTACATTTCACTGAGCAATCTGCCAGGAAGTCACACTTTGGATCGAGACATGACTTTACAGAATGAGATGCAGGAAGGGAAAGCAGGGTCACAAGGCCATCCATCTCCGGTGACTTCAGGGCTGGAGTGTGATGAATGTGACACCAAACCATCCCCAAGGCCCACCCAGCTGCTCGCTGACAGCCCTGCACTGACACAGCTTTTTGTATTGCTGCAGAACAAATGCACAGGATGTGGTGGAATAACATCCCTAGTGAAAAAGGTGTATTTCAAACAGTCATTCTCCATCCGCCTGCAGCCATACACATTGTCTTGGAAGCATGGGAAAGAGAGATTAGAGAAAGACCAGGTTATTATGCAGGAGTAACAGCTTGAAGTATTTGTAAGCTCCTGCCTTAGCCAGCTAATCTGCCCTGGGAATTCTGGACAGGAGTTTCACAGCACAAGTTCTGCTCTGGAGACTTGCTTCTCTTTCTCTCCCCCCATCAAGAAAAGACAAGACAGAAAACTAGTCAAAATATAGGTGGTATGCCTATCTCTGAAGCGATCCTTTGTTTTATCCCTGTTAACAAATGTCAGAGCTACCAAATCTCTCTTATAAGGCAGTCGGGATTCTTCTGAGATCTATTCTAGTGGGGTTCAACCTGCAAAAAGAAAGCCCTGTTGGTTCGGTAAGGCTGTCTTTAAACCAAACTTTGCTTAGGAACAGAACTAACATATAATTAACTGATTTTTACTAAGAAAGCTAAAATTCGAAACGTAATCAATTAGTAAGTACCTGCACCAACAGAAATGGCAGAGGGATTTCTAGTATGACAGCACATTGAATCACCTCTGAACTAAGTTATTCATAGCTTTTAAAAGGTGAGCTCTTAGTCAATTGCCTGGTAGGTAGAGTTTGAGCACAGTATGTACCGAAATGCCCACGGCTTTATCAGTTTTGTTAATGCCAACACAACTGGGGAAAAAACACAGGAGCTTACTTTTTTTTTCAGGGATATTTATAAAGAATATTTCAACATGAGGAACAGAAAGTAGCATTTCCTTTCAATTCTTAGACATATAATTTTACCTTAAAATTCCCAAGCACAAAAAACTGGGTTGAAAGGTACTGAAATGCAACTGCTTTAACTGTAAGTAAGTTTCTTTACATCAAAAAGAAAACCACTTAGGCAGTTAAGCAAGGATACTAACGCTATTTTCATGGCATGGCTATAAAATCAAGTTCTAACATAGCACAAAAGCCCCAAATGACCAGCTTCCAGTTCCTCTAAAGCCCCACAAATATACTTTAGAAACCAGAATACTATTAAAATTTTAGGAAACAGGTAATTAGTTTAAAACGGTACTTTACCAACAAACATTTCATGTGTGGGTGTCCTACTGGTGAAAGTAGAAACATCAGAAGACACAGACAGATGAGCAGCATCGTTAGTTTTTGTAAGGAAAGGATTTAGGTTTGGAATGGCATCATCAACATTATCAACAGTAGCAGAAAAAGGATCTGTCCAATTCCAGAGAGCAAGAGAAAGAAGAAAAGGGAGATGGATTTAGTTATATGTTACTTCCTAGGGATAGGAGAGTAAGAATTCAGAGTAGTCCAGGAAGTATAGTCTTCTCCTGGACATCTCTAAATTTGGGATGACCTAACTAGTATTACCTAATTTTCAAGTTGTCCAGAGCTATCTACTCCCTGCTTGAGAGAAAGACTACAGGTATTAGCCACTCATGTAATTTTAAAATGAATGAATACCATCTTGGTCTTATACCGTGTGCTTCTTCCATAGTTTTATATGGAGAATTAGTACGTTACTTCTCTTTAAACACAACCAGCTTTTGCCTGCCTCAGACATGCCCTCCTGATGCTTCCAAAAAATTCTCCAGAGCAGTGACTGCCTCCTACCACAACAGAGCCCAGATGGGAAGAAAGGAGTCAATTCTACGGCTGGATTCAACAAAATAAATAAAGAACGTCTCCCAGACCCCAACACTGGAGCTGTTAACCTGCACTTTTGCATCTCCTGATCTTTAAACTTTGTTTATGGATTTCTTGTTACTGGGCATCATGTAATTCTCGAGAGCTTTACCTGCACTGAGGTAGGCACACGGGGCAGAAGCCTATTCCTTACTGCCAACAGCCATTAGCTGCGAGCAACCAAAAACCTGCTCTGCTTCAAGGGACAACAGCCAGGAGCAGTGTCAAAGAGACAGCTCCTTACTAAAAACCAACAGACAGCAGTGGGAATAAGGGAAATATAGATCCTGTGTGAGTGACTTCCTAGACACAGAAGGGTTTTGAGGTTTCTTCAGGATGCATACAGCATTCCAGGATCCAGCATATAAAAAGAAAAGGGAACACAGCTAGAATGAAATAACTTACTGGCAAAAAGAAGTGAGGCTTAGCTGTCTGGCTTCAAAGTACACGAATCCTTGGTGGAAAACTCAAGAACTCCCTGGTGAGATCAGCAAGAACTGCATCTAGCCCTGTGTATGACTGTTTTATCACATTACCTAGAACTGCAGCTTGCTCTTCTAGACAAAATCACATACAGAAATGTTGGAGTAATAGTTGTAAGAGATTTCTTGAGTGATTCACTGTTTTGGCACATTTTTCTTTTAAACCTAGTTAGACTACAGCTTACCCACAACTCTTGCAAATGCTACAGTGATGTAGGGCAGCAGCTTCAAGCTAAGTTATTTTCTCTGCCCAAATCTGACCTTCACGATTCTTAACTATAAATCCTAAATAGCCTGGTATCATGTAGCTTTCAGTCATGTAGGTGCTAAAGAAAATGAAGTCTTTGAATCATTGAATTATTTTTTGCAGGCTTAATACACACTTTCATTTTCTGTAAGCTTGACAACTTAGTAAGACTTGACTTCTCTCCTGGAGTGCCTGGCTACATCACAAGAACAAGCACCTTCAAAGGCCTTTTTATAAATCATTGTTATCAAAAACACAGTGCCCAACAGTGAGTAAAGGATAAGCACCATAAGCTAATATTGTATTTGTTATATACACCAACAATACAAAGCCTTCAAATGTCTTACACCTGTTTTAGACAACCATATTACCACCTAAAGTACTTGTGGATGTGCCAGTCACCTGAAACTGCAGCCTTGCTTGCAGATACTTATAACTGCTGTCTGTTATGAATGCTATTTCGGAATGTGCAGAACAAACAGATCTGACAATAAAACAGATGAGATTATTCTGTAATCAATGCCTGCTTGCTTGTTCTGTTGCTGCTTCACATTGTTCTGATTCTATTGTTTCTCCTTGCAACTGGAAAAATTCCCATTAGATAGAGCAAACTGATTATTTCCACACTGATACATTTGTTGTGCTTCTTAAATTTAGGTACAAATTGGTAACTGGCAAGTATACCAGAACAAATACTGCTGGAGTGGTCTCTGGACAATCCCAATAAACATCTTTGATAAAAACTTCCTTTACTCTTTTTAGCTTTTTTTTTTAAAATATTGGTTTACAATATTTGTTTGTATCTGCTATCCACTGAAATTAAACATATACTAAATAGGGAAACTGTTAAATACCACCTTCTGTTCCCAAGTGCCGAGACTGCATAAAAACTCGTGTTTTGGCTAGGAAGACCACGCAATGCAATTTTATATTATCAGGATTTTGTCAGAAATGTAACCTGGTTTTAGACTCTCTGCTGGTCTGTCTCATTCTAGCTCTAGCTGGCGTGTTCAAGTCTCAAAACCTGCCAATGCTGTGACACAGGTGACAAAGGTAATTGAAAATTAATTAGGTTGGGGTAATTCACATCCCAGCATATTCAAATTAAAAAAAAAAATTGCTGTCTCTCCTGACAGCAACACCTAAACATTTCTAGAGCCTAATTTCATCCTTGAATACACATGGCATCTGCTTGTGTCAAGGGAACCGCTCTGCGCCTTCAGGCTATCTGAAGGCATTAGTGATTCAAGAGCATTTAAAAAAAAAAAAAAAAAGTAATCTAAATTTGGCCAACTTCTGTCTTTAAGTTATCTGTCAAGAAGTATCTTACCTGACATTAAGAATGACAAAGGTTTTCCAGGGGTATCTCTCACAATTTGAAAAAAATAAAACTGAAAACATGCGATTCAGAACCTATTCTTTGGGAGTTTTTAACCTTGTTATTAGCTTTAACATTTTTTCAGGACGACAATGAAAGGCAGCAACCCAAATATAATGCCTCTGTAACAGTTTATCTTTTTATTACAAATCTAAGAGTTGCTGCATGGAAGTCACAATCTTTACCTGACTCTTGTCCATCTGCATCTGGTTCCATACTCTTCTCAAAGTCACCACATACACCAAATACAAACATCATCATGTCAGAAAATTACCTAAGGGAGGGATGCTGTGCAGTGGTTAGAGCACAGGACTGGAAATAGCTCAGGTCCCATTCTTGGCTCTGCCACTGACTGGCCGTATGACTTCAGGCAAGTCAGTTAATTGCTCAGATTTCCCCATCTGTAAAACGTGGAAAGCACTTCTTATCTACCTCACCTATGTGAAGTGAGTGTTCATGTCTGTAAAGCCACATAGATTCATTTTCTTTTAATGAAAGCTAACAAAAAAACCCTGGTGATCTCAGAGCTTTGACCTAAAACTTCAGCAGAACATCTGTAATTTAATCTTCTAAGTATTTAGAAATGTGCCATTAGTAAGCAGATTATCCATGACTATTACTGAAGACCTTACCAGGAGTAAGGCACAACATTAAACAAACAGACTTCCAGGCTCAATTTCAGGTTATTAATACCAAAAATAATAAAGATAATAATAAAAAAAAACTAGATTGTGAATGACATTCATGAGGAAGGTAACTTCCTTGTCTAATTCCCACCCCTGAGATAATTAGGACAAGCTGAAACAGAAAGTACTACCAAAAGCAAACAAGATGAGCCAAAACATTTCTCTCCATTTCTAAACTTTAAGCCTAATAAGCATTGAAATTTGTAGGCATAGCTTGATATGCTCCCCACCTGCATCTTTCTCAAAAGATGCTCTGCTCAGCCAAACTGAAGGACAAGTAAGCTGTGAGGTTTTTTTAAGCTAGCACATATATTACTAGTGCTTCCATCACCCAAAACTGTGTGTTATTTCCCTACAGATGAATACAAAAAGATACAAGACACAAAGCACACAACAGAAGTAAACAGGAAAGTAGAATACATATGCTGTTTGTTACGAAAATAAGTTAGTTAACTGGAAAGATGTTTCAGAAAAGCTATAGCTCAAATAGAAATTGTGATGTAAAGTTTCAGAATAGTATTTTCCAATGCCTATAAAGCTTTTTGACGTAGCACCTCCTACTTTTTTTTTCCACACCATAAAAGAAATTTGTTACAAATCAGATGCTTGTTAAAATGCTTATCTGGAAATAGCCACAGAATAAAATAGTAAGCTATGGAACTAAGTGTCATTTATATAGAAAGCTAAAAAGAAACATTCTGTAAGAGATTTTTAATCCTCCACCAGTATAACCAACAACACAAGCCACCAGCATGTGTTACCTACACAAGAAGTATTCTGTAACATTGCAAAGCAGAAAAGAGAAGAACGGCAACAGCTTTGACCATAACCTTTAAGATTAACTGATCTTGAAGTACCACTCATGATGTACTGGAACACTCCTGCCCTGCCTCCCTGGTTTAAGGGCATGCCTAAATCAGTAGTATCATCTAACTTCCCAGTCAGTCCGTCATAGTAATGGGGCAGAATAACAATGTGCATATTCTGAAATAAATTGAAGAGGTTCCCTTCCACAATTTAGCTCTTCAGTTAAAAAAAAAAAGCTTCGGCTGGATCTCTTTCTTTGATTTAGCCACAGTTAATTTGCTTTTGTAGTTAAATACAAGTTTTTTGCTGCATTTCAAAGAGGTGCTTTGTTTTGTTTTCAAAAACTAGCTTTGGACTGTCTTGCTCTTTAGACACATTTGTCTCACAATTGCCTCATCTAAATTTTTCTGTTATCACTTGTAAAACTGATTCTAACTTCACACCATTTAAAACTTATTTGAAAACTTGCATATTCGAGTTCAGTACATGATACGGTTCAGTATCTTGCACGCATCTTCACAGAAATGACTTCTCACAGCTAAGCTTCTGTAGCTTGCTATGTGACCCTTGAAGACAGCAGTTATAAGACTGACTCAGCTGGAACTAAAGGAACATTTTTATTAACAACTCTTATGTCAAGACTGCTTGTGATCACCACATGCTCCTATATTACTTTAATCTGTACCTGGATCTGACTTTTCCCCTGCTCCTTTAATCCATTTCTAGCTTGTCTTTGCAAGTTCTCTTCACAAGTTTTTCCTGAAGAAACAGCCCACAGACTAGGGAAACATTTCACAGGAATCTTGCCACAGCAATTAGAACCTTAATCTGAGTCAGGATTCTTACCTCCCCAGGTACTTCCTACTTGCGGAGCAGCAGATATTGGATGTACAGATGGATGAAACGTTGGCTGCAAATCAAGCAGATCATTTGGCAGTTTTGAAGTGCTACAACGACAAATTAATACAACTGTTTGAACTGCACACCATGGTTTTCAATACAAGGCAAACACTAATCATTGCCAACAGTAAAGAAAGCTTTGTTACAAATTGGCTGTTACAACACCGATGCAACAAAGCCATAATCATAAAGCCTGCTGAATTTCATGTTTTCAGTTTTGCAGAAAAGTGTTAATATAGTAAGCAAGTTCTGTTATATCAAATGACTTTTGCCATAGCCAAGACAAAAATAAACAGCTTTTCCATCTTCCTTGCAGTCTAACACCATGGCTAAAACTCTTAAATTCAGTAATCTTCAGCAAAATAAGCTCGTGAAAACCCCACAGTGTGAGATCAGCCTGATGGAACTTACTTTAATGGGTTACACCATCAAAACGTTACACCTGAAACTCCACAATCTATCAGATCTATCTGCTCAGATCTAAACCAAACTGAGATCCAAGAACATCCTACAGAAATGAAAAGTGAAGTCTAAAATACAACTGTTGCAATGACTTCAAGAGTAAACAGGCACAATAAAAGGCATCCTCCAGCAAAGAGTTAATTTCTAAATTAAATTCCTCCTAAAAAAAATGGAGCACTGGTGTTCACCTGGGACTTTTCAGCATGTGAGATGATCCAACATCTGCACACTTGGCTATGGACTGCAGCAGAGTAACTGTGGCGTTCAAGGTTCTTTTGAAATGAGACAGGCAGAGTTTAAGGGTAGAAGGGGCATCCTAGACCTTCATCTCTTCCTGCTGACCCAATTCCTTGTGTCATTCTTACTATTTCACTTCAACAGTGATCAAAATCACATTTTGCCACCACTGTCTCTATTAAAAAGTAGCATGGGCTGGCACAGCACTGTTAAGTGAGCATGAGAGTCAAAGTCATTTTCAAGTAAAGCTTGTTCAGGTCATCAATTCAATGGAAACATTCCATCTAATAGCAAGCAACTGAACTTACAATCCAACAAACCCACTTCATGGCAGCTTCTGTTGTAAAATCTGTTCTTTGCTCATCAGTCATACTGCCAGCAACTGAATTTAGAAATATGAAGCATGTCTAGCCAGATATTTCTATATTTCAGACCTTGTAAGAAGGAAAATCAGGCACTCAAAGTTCCTATTTCAAAGCATGCTGCCATTTCAAATAGTTTGGCCTCTAAAAGTAATTTAAAAAAAAAAAAATCAAGGAAACCTTTCAGTTACGAACACTGACAGATTCTCAAGCTCCTTATACATGATTCAGCTATTTGCTACATATGTGGTGTCAAGTAACTTCCTACAATAGCTTTCTAGTGGGACAGAAGGCTGTAGAAGTGCTGACTCCTTCTAAAGAACTGCAAAGAGCAAAAGGGGGCAAGTAGATTCTTGCATGAGTTCTAATGAAACTAAGCAATTCTTCTTCAGGTTTAGGTTCAAATCCAAAGCAAAAATATGCCTTAGGAGAGTTATTTCCTTCTTCCACACTCATAGCAGCACTGCACCTTCTGATATTATTCGATTTGACAAGTATTTAACAGAATAAAGCTCACAAACTTACTCATACCAGCAGTTCCTGCTAGTCAAAGAGCAGGATTAGCAGGCACTGAGTACTCCTGCACTATCTTTGCAAGTCCTTGCAGACAGATGTTCCAGAGACAACTCAAGACTGTAAAAACCAGCTTCTCTTTTTTCAAACCCTGTTTCAGGCTGTCCTTTTTGTGAAAATCTACCCAGAACATTTGTTACAATTCAACTTCTGAAGATTTAGAAATGCAACATATAAATCCTGTGTTATCTTTAAGACCTCCCATTCTGAACTTTTATTTGACTTTTCCCAAAATAACCTGTAAGGTTCTCTGAGGGCAGGGCATGTGCATTTTACAGTTTCAACTGTCTTGCTTGCCTGACAACAGATACAAGAGCTGTCAGCAGATGGTTCTTATCAAAAATAATTCTGCAAACAGAGGATGAAAAACATTTCTACATTGTTATTTTTAGTGACAGGTCATTTTCCCATCAACTTTACACAAAACATTTCAGTCACTAACGTGCTCTACACCCAAACAACCTTCTCCAACATACGCTCCTCCAAAGTTTAGAGGAAACCCTGGCTGCACGTCATCTCACAGTTAACATCATTGAAGCATACCTGTTTGAAGAGCTAGGGGTAGAAAAAATATCAATGGCTGGTGTAGTCATTATGCTTCCTGCTGCAGTCGACACGGGAGAAGCTGCAGTTGTTAAAGAGGTATGAGGTTTCTTTGCAAGTTCTTTTAGACGTTGCTCCTGTTGGGAAAGTGAGCTGGCATAAGAAATCCAGAAACAACATTTGTGTATATGAATTTAGAGGCAAGCAGAACAAAATCTATAGATTGTTTTTTTTAATTATTCCACACAGTAGCGTGTCAGTTACTTAAGATAGTTACAAGAGTCAAATCCTTCAGAAATTGCTTTAACAAACCCTTCACAAGTTGTACAGCATATGTAAGAATCTACTTCCAGTGCTTTGCCACCAGCACCCATTCAGTATCAACAACGCTGGCTTTTCATTCTGCTCCCTCAAGAATCTTAAGCTATCAAATAGAGCACAGAAGTCTTTTCAGTTAAAAGATCTGTATGCTTACCTTTAAAGCTTTCAAGCGAGCCTGTTCCTCCTCTAATGCAGCTTGTTTTTCCCTTTCATCAACTTTTGTCAGAGACAGGCCGGTGCTTGCAAGGGAAGAAACTGCATTGGAAAGGGTGGTAGCCCTGAAGTAATTGGACCGGAGAAAAGCTGGTTGTTAATAGGTGACACGTGATAGAAACATCTGAAGAACACTTTGCCTGTATCCACCCTCCTGCTCAGTCTCCCTTCGAACTCTTTAAAACACTAGTTATATCACTATACAACACAACGTGGTAAGTTTCAATAAGATACACTGTATGAACTTGCAAAATAAAAATAAAAATAGAAATCAATCTATTCTCACATGTTGGATCATGGGTTTAGCTCCCTTAAATGTTTCCCCTCCTAACTCTGTCAGAGAAAGCTTTATTTGAAGCTTTTGCTCTTTCTCTATTGACTTAAAACAGCATTATGTGTAGATACACAGAAATCTCTGATGAACTAGGTTGCAATTCAAACTGTTGCTAATTTAACAGATTTAGTTAAGAAACTATCAGTGCAACTAGTAAAACCCAGATGAAAAGTCTGCAATTTACCATGCTTAACTGTGCGCAAAAAGATTCAAGTTAAATACTAAACTTCTAAAACAGACTAAAGTAACGCTACAAAAGCTAATAAGACAGTGCTGAAGTCCTAAAATTGTCACCACCATAAACAAGAAGCAAAATGTGCCTTATTATTTGAACACGAAAAACTAAATGCTATTTAATTTTGCAAGTCTTTTCCCCCATCCTCCAGTATCAAGGATTTTATTTAATCAAGTTAGTCGCCTAGAGGATTTCTCTAGATTGTACTTTGTCTTTTAGCAAGCATTCAAAAACCAATGAATACTGTAATCCCCAATTACTTTGAGCATCCATTTTTAATCTAAGGACTTCTGGAAGCATTTTTTCGCTTCTGACAAAAAAAAAAAAAGATTCTCTCTCATCTCGAATCTTAAGCACATTCGTAAATAAATGCTCCGTAACTTATATAAGTCTTAGTTGTTAACAAAATGAGGATTACTGACAGTAATTTTTTTTTAAAAGTTTCTTCAATAGCTCAAGATGAGATGTTAGAAATTTAACTACTACACATGCGATTCTACAGCAAGGTTTTTCAGCTCCTTAGATGCTATTTCTGTTGACCTGGAAGAAACTGTCTGAAGAGCAAGACATCTGATAACTTGCTATACCATGATAACTAATACAACACAATCTTCACTTCAGCAGAACCTATACAAACTTTAGTTCATAATGGAGTCCCAAAATAATGGGCTTAACATTTGATTAAATGTTAAAAAACATTATTATGTTTTTTAAAGGACAAGGGCATAAGCACCTGCTTGCAGCTGTGGAGTCTTTGATTTTCTTTCCTTCTAGAGAAGCTAAATGCTGCTCCAAAGCATCAAGAAGGCTACTTGGTGCCTGGAAAGAGACACAACAGGTAAGAGATAGGAAAAACCTAAGGACAAAGCAAGTCAGTAGTTAAAAGACTTTCAGAGAGTACAGCTCTAAGGCAGCTTGTAACAACTCAAAATACTTATATCACATCTTGGCATCCATTTGATATTTAATTACTTTAAACATCAGGTGATTTAGTCTGTTCACTACATTATTCTGTGTCATAATGACTCACCCGTAAGGTACTGAAATATGTCAAGAGATGTAAAAATTAACAGCTAGGAAACAGTAAACAGAATCAGAAGCAGCCTGTATTTCTGGAGACTTTAAGAGGGAAATTGTTCCTAAAGTCATTTCTATGTGCATGCTCTGCAAACCTTCACAAATTATTTCAACGGGCACGTTGCCAAAAACAAGCTTGCTAAAAATTGTAGCCTCGTAATATCATGTAAGAACTTCATTACGTGAACTCCGAGACAAATTGTGTTATCAAGCATGATGAAAATTACATTGTCTCAAAACTCAATTAGAGTGTGAAATAAACAGCCTATAACATTTTAAAATAGGATCACTGCATATGAAAGCCAGGCTCCGACAGGATTTGGATTTAATCACAAACTTTGAAATAACTCGGTGACAACATATGCAAGAAAGCATAAGTGAATGTTATAATGCCAAATTCTTCTGATTATGCAACCCCAAAACAGACATGTACTGACAAATGCATAATAGCTTTATCTACCTGTGAAAGATCTGGTATGTCTCCTCTGTCAATTCCAACTTGCTGTAATAAAACAAACGAGCTTTAGAATCTGTTTGCATTTGTGACAGGCAGAGACGTTCAAAAAGCAAACAATGTTAAGAT